AATAACAACATATTTTTTATGACCAATATGTTAATGTTGTGCTATTTCAGGAGCAACAATAAAATATTTGTAGTAGACAGATCTACAAATAATATTCTCAACAATTAATCCTTATTTGTAAAGCTTCATTATTTTTAATTTATATGAAGTACATGAAAATCGAACAAAACCTTTTATATATATATTCTAAACATTATATCTTACCATATAGACATGATATGAATTTATATAGAAAAATTAATTACCAAATATGCATTAGGAAAAAAAATCTCCATACATAGAAGTTAACAAAATTGGCTACATCTTTTATTGGCTAAATTTTTTACCAATATGCAAAAAATACTAAACACGCACATGAATTTCACATATATAGAAATTAAATATAAAACTAATATGTGACAAATTCAAAAGACAGTATTAATATTGAATAATACATGGAAAAAATGATTCAGTATGAATCAAAAGCAATGAAGTGATATGTGTACATATTACACACATAAACGTGAATTAAAATTAATATGTATACCAACAAAAAGTAAAAAAGAATGAACAACCTTATTATGATGGACATGTATATCAAAAGAATTCACATGACATTAAATTAATTTTGCTACATATAATAAATATTTATTCTCATAAAAAAATTACTACATTGACTAAACTTCAAAAAATTAAACTATTGTGCTGATAACTTACAAAAAGAGGAAAAAAAATAGGAAAAATTCAATAAATTTGTATATTTTATTAAGAACTAAAATCCTATACAAACTTTTCTCCATTATTGAATATTTTTTTTCAAATTTCAGCCCATCACGTTGAAAGCAATGACGGCCTAAAACATAACGTGAACCACGGGTTTAGCCCACATATTAAAGAATCCATCTTCAATGCTTGCGTTCTTAAGGTTTCGATGTGGGATCAGAAAAAGCTAGTTTCTACATTCCAGTCAACTCTTGTGTTTTGATGTGGGATTCACAAAAATGAAAAAAAAAAAGGGTGCGGGGGGGGGGGGGGGGGGTTTGGGTTCTACGTTCCAGTCAACTCTTGTAACAATTATAAAAATGAATAAATTAGAAGGCAGTAGCTTTGTTTTGAAAAAGGATAATCATGCTATTGTAAATTATTGATCTCTTCAGATTAATAACTTTCCTTTTTTTTCATTTTAAATCCAATTTATGTGATCTTTTATTTAATTTTATTACATTAACAGTTGAAACGATAAAATACTATAAAAGTATTAAACAATTTATCATATAACCAAATAAAAATTAAATGTACCCAAATTTAATCGTTAATGGGTGCATTAAGTTAATGTGAAATTATCTTAATTTTGTCAATTGAGGTATATAATTTATTTATTAAGACCGGTTTAATCCCTGTTCGAATTCTCAATCCTTGATTCTTTAGCTTTTCCGGGTCAACGTTCAAGCAGGTTTTCAGAACATTACACCTAATAGGAATTGCAACTTGGCATATGAGATTAATATATGGCAATTTATTGCCTTCTCATCTTACTTGTTTTATTATTATTATTATTATTATTATTATTATTATTATTATTATTGGTTTTCTGAAAGGGGAAAATAAGATTCAAAGCAATGACCATATTTTTCTTCCTCATCCAAATTTTTTGATGCAACAAGGTAACGAAAATCGAACATGTCCGGGTTATTTTGCCATTCCCAGTTGATGAGCTAAGTTTTAGGACAAAAAGTAGAAAAAAGACTTGATCCAAACAATGGCAATTGTATGTGCAAATTATCCGAAAAAGGGAAGAAGAAGATTAGAAATCCTCAAACATATTTTTTTAAACCCCAAAGGTTGAAAACTGAAATGTAGTTACTTTTCAACGCTAGACCAAGTCTTAAAGATGCAGGAACAGACCAAGAAATTGCTGAGACGCCAATAAAGAAAATGTAGAAAATAAATATGTCAAACATTTGACTTTATTTCTCACGAACCTCTCTTCTTCTACACTACGATTCGAAATTAAAGATTAACATAAAAAATCCATAATCAAGAAAGCAAATTTCATGGCGCAGCAGCATCTTCCAAAACCAACAAGGGTCCTCCCCTACACCACGCCAAGTGTTCACTCTCTTTATTCTATAGGCAAGAAGCTTGGCCAGGGCCAGTTTGGAACTACCTTTCTGTGCACAGAGAAATCAACTGGCATTCCCTATGCCTGCAAGTCCATTCCCAAGAAAAAACTCATATGCATAGAGGATTTTGATGATGTCTGGAGAGAGATTCAGATAATGCATCACTTGTCTGAGCACCCTAATGTCGTGAGAATAAAGGGCACTTATGAGGATCCTGTTTTTGTGCATATAGTGATGGAGTTGTGTGCTGGTGGCGAGCTTTTCGATAGGATTGTGAAAAAGGGACATTATAGTGAGAAAGAGGCTGCAAAGCTGGTGAAGACTATTGTGGGGGTAGTTGAGGCTTGTCATTCTTTAGGGGTTATGCATAGGGACCTTAAGCCTGAGAATTTCTTGTTTACAAGTTCTGATGAGGATGCTGCCCTCAAGGCAACTGATTTTGGCCTCTCTGTCTTCTACATACCAGGTTTCTTTGATTTTCTTGGAATTCCTTTTACCTTTCATTCATTGTTGCATTTTTCAGGTTCATAAATTGTGTTTTAATTGATGGGTTCCTGGAGTTACGTGAATCGGATATTCTAACAGTGGATGATAGGGGTTGGCTTTGGCATTTCAAATCCGCTGGTGACTCGAGATGTTTGAACATTTTCTATGATTTTTTTTGGCCTAAGAAAGGGTTATTTATCTTTCTTTAAATTGTTGGCATCAATTGAAGTCCACACCCTGTTGATAGATTTTGATTTCAACAGTTGCAGTACTTGTTTTGCTGGTTTTTTAGTATGGACTCACCAGCTTATCTACTTGTGTTGTCGTTAAAATCTATAATTCATATCTTGGTTTTGGTACCGGGATAATATTTCCTAAAGAGTAGTTCATTCCTGGTTTTGTCCGCCTTTGAAATTTGCTTACTGTTGGTGTATGTCTGTGGTTTTCTGATTTTTGTCTTCCATCAAATTATGTATGCGACAACATTTTTTTCCCTTCTTTTAGCCTTTCTTGTCCTTTCGAAATTTTTTTTGAAGATGCTCGTTCTATGTCTTCATGTATTCACAAGTTACACTTGTGGGACATATTAGAATTTTCTGATTGATGCTTCTCTCCTTTCTAACCTTCTCAGGGACTTGTGATCCTTTACTTTCTGAATCTGCTATACTTTTTTATCACATGTTAATCAGTCTTCTAACATGAAATTGTTGGTTTCTTATTGTCATTTTTTCAGATGAAAGTTTCTGTGAAGTAGTGGGAAGTCCTTATTATGTTGCACCCGAGGTTCTGCGCAAGCAATATGGACATGAATCAGACGTATGGAGTGCTGGAGTTATTTTATACATTTTACTTAGTGGTGTTCCACCATTCTGGGCAGGTATCTTTTTGCTCGATTCACTTGTCTATCCTGGATTTGACACTACGGAAACATAGTAAGTTTTTATGCTAACAATGCCTAATAACTAAACTGGTATTTTGTTCTTCTTACTCCAGAGACTGAGAGGGGGATTTTCCGCCAGATCTTACGAGGAAAGTTGGATTTTGAATCTGAACCTTGGCCTGGTATTTCAGATAGTGCCAAGGATTTGATTAGTAAAATGCTTGATAAGAATCCAAAGACAAGGTTAACAGCACATCAAGTTCTCTGTAAGAAACTTTCTAGAGCATAAGAGTAAATGTGTCACGCCATTGAAACAAATTGTAGCTCTGCAACTTTATTGTAAAGATAATGACTTTTTTCTCTCTGTTTTTCTTATCAGGTCATCCTTGGCTAGTTGATGACAGAATGGCCCCTGATAAGCCTCTAGATTCTGCAGTTTTATCTCGGCTAAAGCAGTTCTCAGCAATGAACAAACTTAAGAAGATGGCTCTACGGGTTAGATTTTTATTATGAAAAGACTTTCTGGTTGAGTTTATATCCCAAGCATCATTTCCATGGAAATGTATAATGTATGCATATAAAAATTATCACCATCCTGACCCGTGTTAAGATCATGCTTCCGCTCTATTGAAGGTGATTGCGGAGAGACTATCAGAAGAAGAGATTGGTGGTCTCAAGGAGTTGTTCAAAATGATAGATACAGACAACAGTGGAACTATAACTTTCGATGAACTTAAAGAGGGTTTAAGACGAGTAGGCTCTGAGCTAATGGAGTCTGAAATTAAAGATCTCATGGATGCAGTAAGAAATTTCATCTTCGTGCATTTGAATTTTCTGCTTGTACAAATGCCTATTGCCATTTTTAGTTGACCAAGACCTTTTTTGGTATTTGCAGGCCGACATTGACAATAGTGGAACAATAGATTATGGGGAGTTTCTTGCAGCTACAGTCCACTTGAACAAGTTAGAGAGAGAGGAGAATCTACTCTCAGCCTTTGCTTTCTTCGACAAAGATGGGAGTGGTTACATAACTATTGACGAGCTTCAACAAGCTTGCAAAGAATTTGGGTTGAGTGACTTTAACCTTGATGAGATGATCAGAGAGATTGATCAAGATAATGTATGTTTCTAACTCCATATATATCTTTTCGAGATCCTGATTGCTATAGAACAAAGAACTCTTAAGTGAACCAATACGAATTGAAAGTAACAACTCCAAGCGAAGTAGCCTTGTCTTTGTTTTGATATAGGAAACCACAATTTGATGTGCCCGGACTTAGATTCCACTAGCATTCTCTTTATTTCTTTATATGGATTTCAAAAATTACAAGCCCAGAAAGAAAGGGAGCTCAAAGTGCTTATAAAGCATAAAACAGGCCTTTCACAAATGATGTTGGATTCAATTAAATCGTTACACACCGTTGTTCATAGATTGATTAAAGTTTGATTTATTGCAGGATGGTCAGATTGATTATGGCGAATTTGCTACAATGATGAGAAAAGGAAATGGAGCAATTGGGAGGAGAACCATGAGGAAAACTATAAACATGGGAGAAGCCTTAGGATTACAAGTTACTGAAAGTGAAGAATACAGCCAACAAAACTAATTGAATTCCATTCTAACTTTCATTTTTATTTCGTCTAATTTGTTTATGTAAAGGTTCATTGTTCCATACAGAGGCTTACCGCTTATGTATCTTTCTTCGCATCCTCTAACAATAATCTTTCCTCGATAGTTTGTCTTTCTGTCGAGAGAGAAGAGGGGGAGGTAGTCATGATATGTACGAACACATAATCTTACTTATACATTCTAAATTCTAAGAGGAAAAATACCAATACTTATTTAAGGAATACACAAGTCATTTTAAGTCACGACTGTTGAATGTGTACATTACATTGTTTAGGAAAGCATTCTCAAAGCACACTTGTTTGCGTTTTCATCATAATAATTCCCTTTTCCATGATATGTAAATACTGGCAGTTTATAACTTACTGGATACAGCCAGGTATTTTGTATGACGCCCCTGAGCAATAATTTTCCCCGTCTCTTTCTTTCTAAACTCGACGCTTACAACTGCGAAAGCCTTTCCAACACGTAATGCTTTTGATTCTATCTCAATTTCCTCCTGAACAATAAAAAGCCACAAATTAATACAATGGTAACTTGTCAAGTAATGGAAAGGCAACAATAATTGACTTTATGAATTTGGCCGTAAAGCAAAATCAAAAAACTTGCGACTAAAAAGGAATCACAGAAAAACAAGCATCAAAGTACTACATGGGCAGAAAAATAGCTAAGAAAACAACACTTTCTACCAAGGGTAATAATCAGTTTTCGATTTAGATATCCAGAGTTCACCAAACTGAAACGATAGCTCAATGGCTACACCAGGATACTCATCACGATCATTACTGATAAACAAGAACAAATATAAAAAGCAGGGTTCATTGGAAAAGACAAAACACATGCACAAGAGAACAAAAGTGGCATAGACAGACACATCACAAGGAGAAAGAAAGTCAAAAAGAGCTGGAACCATCAGCAATTTTGCAGCATCAAACTTTTTGTGCACCCTTATTTTGAAACAAAATGCTCTGCCATTGTATATATCTGAACGTTAAAACTTAAACGGATTAAAACGCAGCTTTCAGTTTGTCATACCAAATTAGGGAAATACATTAACTGAATCTAATGACGAAAGGATCATTAACAAATTCAACAGTCCGTCTTGATTCTCTTTGATTTGTTTCATGACCAGCAAAATGGAAGATACAGCAAAAGTTTGCAGAAGACGTTCTCTTTGATTCATTTTACGATCCATGAAGAGGTATGGCTACAGAAAACTTAATAGTTTAGTTATTAGATAAGTTTGAACTGAAGGTATTCGCATGGGAAGTAGTAAATTTCTCCCCCTTGTAATTCTGGAAGTAAGGTTAGATGTTCCCCCTCCTTTGTATTAATTATTTCTATTGATAAAAAGTTAGGGATCAATGCTAAATCGTCATCTATAAGCTAAGTAGTATGAAATCCCACATTTAGACATAGATGGAGAAAAGAAAAAGGTCATTTGTATTATACAAATGTTAGCATAGGCAATACATTTTTATTCGGCATTCCTAGGGAGCAATCTTGATTCAGAGACCTGACTTGGAACATGTACAAAAATAGATAAAAAATAAAATTCATGAATGGTTCTCAAGCAATTTTTAATCAGATTTCACGTATCTACGTAAAAACAAGGAGATGAAAATAGAAGAAAAGCAGGAAAATGATTCGCACAAAAGCATCGTGAACAGAGTACTTTCAGGAAGACAAGCATCAACATTACAATTGAATTGAGAGCATTTTAGTTCATTGGTTCACTTGTCAAGCCCCACTAATCAGCAATTCTGGATGAGTTCATTTCAAAGTAAGCACCTCCATAAGTGATAACAGGATAAGATATACTTCAACATTTTTTCAAGGAGTGAAGATTCTATCATAATACTGGTAGCATTTGCCTACATCGTGATGAGGACATCCAATCCTTTTTTATTTATTTCTAGTTGAACCTTATTTCATTTTTGTGGACGTTATTTTGTTTTGGATTTTATTTAAACCTATTTTGTGATGCAATTTATTGCAATTGATGAATAAATAATATTTTGGTGGCTTGTGGCGAAATTCCCCCTCTTCCCCGTTCTTCTTCCTCTTCCCCTATTTTCTTCTTCTTCCATCCCTTCCCCTAATTTCTTCTTCTTGATTAATTGATTTTCACTTTCTTCATTAATTTTTCTATTGGTGCTGCATCAAATTTAGTATCAGAGCCGAAACTTAGGTAAGCCTAATCTACAATACAAAATTCTTTCTTGCCCCCTTTTCAAAATTTGTTGAAAAGATTTTTAGTGTACGAGCAGCAGATTCTGTTCTTCTAGTTGTCATTTGTTGTTTAAAAAAAAAAATGTTCACGTTATTGTTCACACTCAGAAATTTCAGTTTAGTTTTTTTCTGCAGTTTCAGTTTCACCAAAAAAAAAAAAATCGTTTGCTGCTGCTATTTTACAAATGTAGTGTTGTTCCACAAAATTCAACCCTAACGCTCAAACCTGGCCCAAGCTATTTAGCCCAATTCCAGCCCCCTACCTATTGACTTTTCATCATCTAATTCAGTCCATTCACCACACTAAGCCCGTCTCTGTCTAAACCCGATTCCTCCCGGCCCAATCCCAATTCTAATTTCAATAAAATAAGTTAGCCCAATCACATCCCAGCCCAAGTGTCCTGGCCGATCTCTAGTTATGGAAGAGCGTGAAGGTATATTTAACGAGCCATTAGAGGACCAGGTTTATGAACCTATGTTGGAAGAGGTTGATAACTTAGAGGATAGTGAAGATACTTTCTTAGATTGTATTTAGACTAGTCCCCTTACCCCGCATATGCCTAAAGTCGGTGTCGTCCATTGCACTCTTACCCAGCCTAGGAATGCCGATAATTGGCGTCGTCATACCATCTTCCACACGTACATCAAGATCAATAACAAAGGCTTCTAGGGTTGAAGCCAGTTCCTTACCCTCAGCCGTATAGCGTCTTCTGGGTTGATACTTCTTCTATAGCTGTCAGAGAGCGTTGTTTAGTCCATATTCAGTTCCTCGAGTATAAAGACCATATATGATGTGACATCATTTCAATGGGTGTTGGACACCATCATCTTGGGACAACTTTGGTTATTTGACCTAGATGTAACCATCTATGGTCGATCCAATTTCTGCTCTTTCGTGTTTAATGGAAAGAAGATTTACCTTAACCCACTGCCTTCAAAGCCTATTGACTCAGAAGAAACAAAGAAGAGTGTAGAACGAAAGGGATTGCATATTATTTGTCGTACGGAGTTTGAGCGTACAATTGTTCGTGACTCAATTGTGTTCGCTTTGGTAGTCAAGGAGGTTTCATCTAACTCCACAACAGAGAGCCATGCTGAAGTTTAGTCGTTCCTTCAAAATTTTCGGGATGTCTTCCCGGAGGACCTACTTGATCATCTACCCCCTCTATGGGACATTCAACATGCCATAAATTTCGTCCCAGGGGCATCCCTTCCAAATTTATCTCATTATAGGATGAATCCTACAGAGCACGCTGAACTACAAAGGCAAGTAAATGACCTCCTTCGCAAAAGATTCATTCGTGAGAGTTTAAGCCCGTGTGCTGTCCCTGCCCTATTGACACCTAAAAAGGATAGTTCTTGAAGAATGTGTGTGGACAATCGCGCTATCAATAGGATCACAGTGAAGTATCGTTTTCCCATTCCTAGACTTGATGATATGCTATATATGATGGTTGGTGCTACAATCTTTTCGAAGATTGATCTGAAGAGTGGATACCATCAAATTAGAATCCGCCCCGCTGATAAGTGGAAGACCGCCTTTAAAACGAAAGATGGTCTTTATGAATGACTAGTCATGCCTTTTGGACTAAGCAACGTGCTGAGTACCTTTATGCGAGTAATGACACAAACTCTTCGACCTTTCATGGATAAAGTTCTCATTGTCTACTTTGATGATATTCTCATCTATAGTAAGACTAAGGAGCGACGCCGTGACCACCTCACACAAGTTTGTTCTACCCTACTTGTGAATAATCTGTATGCTAATGTCAAGAAGTGATCTTTCTTCACCAATATAGTCGTTTTTCTAGGATTCATTGTCTTTTCGACAGGGGTATCTGCTGACCCTGCCAAGATTCAAGCGATTCTTGACTGGCTTGAACCTAAGACTATTCATGATGTCAGGAGTTTTCATGACTTAGCTACATTTTACCATCACTTTATCAAGGGGTTTAACACCATTATGGCTCCTATCATGGAGTGCATGAAGAAAAGAGGAGTTTCATTGGACACAAGAGGCTGCTAAGGCCTTTAAGTTAGTTAAGAAGTGAATGACAGAGGCTTCTGTCATATGTCTTCTCGATTTTTTCAAAGTCTTTGGGTTGAGTGTGATGCTTCCGAGGTAGGTATAGGCTGAGTCTTGAGTCAGGATTGTCACCATGTTACTTATTTCAGTGAGAAGTTAAATGAGGCCAAACAACGGTACTCAACTTATGATAAGGAATTGTATGCGGTTGTCCAGGCTTTGCGCTATTGGCGTCACTATTTATTGCCCTAGGAGTTTGTTCTTTATTCAGACCACGAGGTCATCCATTACCTCTACTCCCAGAAACGATTGAGCTCCAGGCATGGTTGTTGGATTGAATATTTGCAGGTCTATTCGTTTGTTTTAAAACACAAGAAAGGCGTGGAGAACCAAGCAGCTATGCTTTAAGTTGTTGTGTCTCCCTTTTGTCGACTATGAGTGTCAAGGTCATTAGTTTTGAAAAACTTAAGGAGGATTACGAGGTGTGTCCCGATTTTAAGGATATCTTTCTTGATTTGCAAGTTGAACATCAGACATCACAGATGACTTCCGACTTGAGAGAGGGTTACCTCTTTAGAGCCAATAAGTTGTGCATCACTCGAACTTCAGTGCGGGATTTCATAGTGTGAAAAATTCACGCGGGAGGTTTAGCCGGTCACTTTGGGTGTGATAAGACTATAAAAGAAGTTGAACGCCAATTTTATTGGCCTAGTTTGAAGAAAGATGTGGCTAAAATTGTTAGTACATATAACACTTGTCAATTAGCCAAACAGAAGAGGCAAAACACACGCCTATACACTCCTCTTCCCGTGCCCAATTCTCCTTGGCAAGATGTTAGTATGAATTTTGTGCTAGGACTTCCATGCACTCCAAAGAAACATGTTGTTGATCGTTTCTCGAAAATGGCTCATTTCATCCCCTGTAGTAAGACCTCATATGCGTCTAAAGTTGCCATGTTGTTCTTTAATGAGATTGTCAAATTGTATGGGCTTCCTAAGACCATTATGTCCGACAGGAATGTTCGTTTCAATAGCCATTTTTGGAGAACTTTGTGACAAAAGATGGGTATCAAATTGAAATTTTCTACAGCCTACCACCCTCAGACTGACGATCAAACTGAAGTGGTTAATCGTAGTCTTGGTACTTTGTTACGATGTCTAGTTCGAGAAAACCTTTGAAATTGGAATTTGATCCTTCCTATAGGTCAAATTGCATATAACAGTTCCATGAATCGTTCATTAGGTGTGAGCCCATTTGAAGCTGTTCATGGGTATAAGCCTAGGAAGCTGTTAGATCTCATTCCTATGTCAGAACAGGCTAGAGTGTCAGTGTCAGCCGAAACATTTGCACAACATCTTCGTGATTTGCATATTGAGATCAGTAAACAACTTGAAGCCAATAATGCAAAATATAAACTCCAAGCTGATTTGCATAAACGACATGTTGAGTTTAACACTGGGGATTACGTTATGGTCCGCATTAGGCTAGAGCGGCATCTACATGGACCCGCCTCCAAATTGCAAGCCCGTAGTGCTGATTCTTTTAAAATTTTAAAGCAAACTGGTCCAAATGCATATGTTGTTGACATTCCACCTCACTTTGGTTACCACTCTACTTTCAATGTAGAGGACCTAGTTGCTTATAAAGGCCATTTGATTCCCTCAGATGATCCTTTATTACCTCCTTTTGTGGACCTTGATCCTGATTCTTTGGCCACTTCTAACCTACTACCACCTCTCATAGCACACAAAAATAAAATTGATGTTATTTTAGATGAAAAAACTGTGTTAACTAATGATGGAGAGGTTCAGCGTTTCCTTGTTCGTTGGGTTGATCAACTAGGTTTTGACTGTGCATAGATCTCCAAAGAGACGCTACAGCAATTGGATCCAAATTTATTGGAGCTTTATTGGAGTCAGCTGGATCTTCCTTGACCCAGATCGCCTCTCGTCCACTCATCAGGAGTTGGTGAGGACACCAGATTCGGACCTCCACTGACACATTTCTACAGACGTCGGAAGAAGCTTACCCAACCACTCGGCCTATGGTTGGGAGATTGACTGCAGCCTAGTGATTTATCAACTCGACGGGGTTGAGTTTTCTCCCACCCTGGGAGAGTTGATGAGGACATCCAGTCCTTTTTTATTTATTTCTAGTTGAACCTTATTTCATTTTTGTGGACTTTGTTTTGTTTTGGATTTTATTGGGCTTGTATTGGCTCGGACCTAATCTCGTTAGGATTTGTTTTACTATTTAAACTTATTTTACGATGTAATTTATTGCAGTTGATGAATGAATAATATTTTGGTGGCTTATGGCGAAATTCCCCTTCTTCCTCGTTCTTCTTCCTCTTCCCCTATTTTCTTCTTCTTCCAACCCTTCCCCTAATTTCTTTTTCCTGATTAATTGATTTTCACTTTCATCATTAATTTTTCTATTGGTACTGCATCACATCATGATGTAGGATGTAATTAAATGAAATAGTAGGATTATAGGAGATTGGGAAATGGGAAGAGGAGAAGAGAAAGGAGGGGAGAAAAGAGAAGAAGAGCGAAAGATAGAAGAGAAAATATCAATTTATTTCATTATCAAAGTCGTGTCCATTACAATGCAAAAGACTGAGTTTCAAAGATTGTATTTTAAGTAGGAAATATCTAATAAAATCTATTAAATCAAATCCTCATTACTTTTCCTTAAAAAAGTATCAAAATTGAAAACTAGATTAAATAATGTCCTTGTTTGGGCTATATTCTCCAAAAAATGCATTTTTCTTTTTCTTAGTTTCAACCATACATTCTTCAATAAAATAATATTACATGTAAATCAAAATTTTTTTCCCTATAATTACACATTCTCCAAAATACTACTATTCAAAAATACCTTTTTTTTTCCCCCCAAAATGTATTTTTAATGGATCCCAAAATGTATCTTGCTGGATATTAGAATCCTTAGGCTAGAATTTGAAGTTTATTAATTTGACAATATGAGCAAGAAAATGTTAAAACCAACAAGATGCAAAATAACAGACCATGATTTCAAGGGTAGGTGAAAATTTGCACATCTGGTACTAAAATTATTTCCCATAGGAACCAGAATGTTTTCTGCCATATGAGCACTCCAATAATAGTACTTTGGTGGACTGCTTCCACCAATTATGATATTTTTATCTCTTCTTAGTTTATAGGTATAATGTCACAACAGTTGAGTGTTTTAAGATCCTCAGATCTTGTAGGTAACTTTATGATGAAGGAAACAGATTCACTAGAGTCATACTAACTCTCATTTGTTACTATACTTAAAGTAATAAGGGTTGTCATCATTAAATCTCTATTTCTAAGCTCACCTACCAAAAGTTCCAACGCACTCTTAGGATTAGAACTGAAGGAAATGAAAAGAATTTTAAAATTTCAGTTGATAGCATTTCACTTCATTTCATATTCAAATTCCAAGTCCTATATTCCATGCAATCAAGAATTATCAGGGCAATATTTTGATCCGTCTACATAGGAATCCCTTAATTCTTGGCATTATCACAGTGTCACACATGTCAATAAACCAGATTTTTACTTAACTTAAACATTAGGTTCAGATAAATCTCAAGCTACATCATTTTATTTCTTGTGAGGAAACCAAAACTAAACTGAGATAAAAAAATTGGAAATTAATTTATGCAACAAAGCAACTCCTGCTCAGAACCCGTAAATTATGTCACATCTGTTGAAAAACAGCCTTAATCTTGGATTAACATCTTATAATTGATTTCGGGAGGATAGAAAATTGTAGAAAAATGGAGAAACCATTTAAGTTTTCTGTAACAGCAAGTCTTGAACTTTCCTGATTAATGACATGGATAAAAGGTTAAAGGATGAAATAGAAATATGATACCAAATTAGTGAGGGGAAGCCAAACTTGGGATCTTGTGAAATAGGGTTAGCCATAGACGCTAGACACTTATATCAACAAAGTTGAAGATTCAAGTGAAATAGTTGAAACTCCATTTCTAGTATCTAGCCAAGTCTCCTAACAAGCTTCTCCAAATATTTTGATGATCTAAGTTCATATGGTCAAATCTTTAGAGCATATTAAGCCCATATTTGGCCCCCATTAAAATTATAATTCATTTTTTTCTTTCTTCTTATTAACCACACATTCTTCAATAAAATAATATTGCATATAACTCCAAAACTTTTTCTTCTTTTTTAACAACACGTTCTTCAAAAAAATAATATTCTAAAATACCTTCTTTTTTTTTTTTTTTCCAAATTCTCATTATAATGGGGGCTAAACAAGGACTAAGTGTCAAAGTCCAAGGACACCACCAAGTAGTATCAGATCAGTCAACAAGCTCCAACTCTTCGCTACCATTTCTATTCATTGGAGGGCTTTATTATTTGTTTCAAGGGAAATTTAAGAAATTGACTTAATGCATCCTCGACATGGAGTAAACAACTTCCATGTAATACCGAAGGATAGTCTAATCAATACCGTTCTTGTTAACACAGTCGTGGAACCTTGAAACTACCCACAACATCGTCAAACAAAACAGAGAACCATAAAGTGTGGAAAAAAAAAATAAAAAAAGGAATTAGCACAATATTTTATCTGTAACCGAAAGCAAAAGTGAAAAAAAGAAGAAGAAGAAAATAGCGATGTTTTAAGCTCACTTACACCAGCATAAGCAGCATCCAAATAGGAAACATTGATCTCGACCGATACTCCGGTGGTCGGAGCACCCATAGTGAATATTACAGCCGATCCAACAATGTCGACCAACGCCGCCGTGGCCCCACCATGCAATGAATTCCCAGAATTCTTCAATTCACAGGGAAAAAAAAGAATTAAAAAAAGATAAGTTACTCTATAAAAATAGCAGATGTCTAGGGGTTAATTTTCAGAAATATAATAATGGAAAATGAAAAATCAAACCAGAAGGCGATCTGGGACATTGAGAGAGCAAAGAATACGGCCGGGTTCAATGTGGTGGATTTTGAGACCTTGCATAACCATTGGCTCTATGAAATTTGGGGGCATTGAATCAACTGTTGATTCATAATTGCCTCCTTCTTTCTCCACGAATCTCTTTACATGCTCCAAATCCATTTTCTGAATTTTCAGTTTGTCCAAGCAGTCTGTTCCTCGATCGTCTCTATAGATGAAGGGAAATACAACTTAATAGCTTAAATAAAAAAAAGGAGGATTTTTCAAATTAGTCTAAAAAATAAAAACATTTGAAAACTAGTCTCCAAACAATCAATTTTTCAAAAATACCCTTAATAGAGAAATTGTAACTAAAGCCATTACAATGTCTAAAAACCTTCAAATAAATCCTCAAAGATATATAGATCAAAATTCTTTAATAAATTTAGATTCAAATATTATACAAAATTTTATTGATCTAAAAAACGTTACAGAAAACGAATTAATCTATTTGGAAAAAGATCTTAAAGACTTCTTTATAGAATATTTAGATCCAAAACTAAAAAATAAAATTGAATCCATAGATGATGAAGCAATTAAAATGGAAAAAAATATATATAAATTAATTCTTAATTTAAGAAGGAGAATTAAAGAATTAAACATAATTATTCAAGAAAAAATATTGGTAAAAAATAGTGAATTTTATAAATTTTATTGTGATATTTTAAACACTTATGAAGAATCTAATCGGCTCAAAAATATTAACCTCTCCGCTGCACACTCCGATAAAATGGTATCAGAGCCAAGTTACGAACCAAAAATAATGATGAATATAGTAGATGAAGAAAATATAATTGAAGAATTTTTGAAAAAGGTTAAAAAACATAAAAAACCTAGTTATCCCTATTTATCTAAAAACACTACAAATGAAAGTTTTGAGGATATCCATAAAAGACTAGAAAATCTAGAATATAATCTACAAGTAGGAAATGCATTATTAGATAATAATCTTAGAGGAAAAGATAGGATTATAATAAATCCACCTCAAGATTTTAGAATAACAAAAAATAAAGGAAAAAAGCATGAAGAAAAACAATATATGATAACAGATGTAGAAGAAATAGAACAAAAATTCTTAGAATCTACAGGAGAAGAGTATGAAGAATATAAAAAACAGTTAGAAAAATTAACTGAAAATATGGAAAATACAAAAATGAATACTAATCCATCTTCAAGTCACGATATAAAGGTAGAATTTAGTAGTGATGAAGAACAAGATTTCCCTTATGGTAC